TTTTAAATTTTAAAATCATAAATACTGAGGGGTAAATTGCTGTATTTTGGAACAAAAGTGTCTTAAAATAGATTAACCAGTTTTAATATTTTCTGAATACAGTTCAAGCTGCATATAAGGAGTTAAAAAATCTGCAGATACTCAAGGTTACAAATAGTATTGTACAAGTAACCTGCTTATATAGACCAAAGATTTTCCTTCGGTCTCAGCAAAGAACATAAGTATTGCTGTTGAGTTAATTCTAAGTAATTCAAGATTAATACCAAGTAACGCAAGACAGAAACCATACGTCATACTCCTTCCTCTTTTTTCCAACAATAAGAATGCTATGAGGTGAGTTGGGATGAGACAGATGACAGACCCAGAGCCACCCAGCTGGCTTTTATGCCTAAGGAGAGACTAAAACTCTCTTGTATTTTCTAGGCCAGAATCTTAACCAATACATCACACTGTTTTTTATTTTGGGGAAAAATTATTGTAAGAAAAAAATGAAATCTGTTTTTGTTCAGCAGTTGGTAAATGGTCATGAACTTATGATCTTTTTTAATAACTTCATTTCAACACAATACAAACAGAAATATTAAGTTTTCTAGCATTCTGGCGTATCTGAAAAATAGATGTGTCAACAAAACAGAGAGATAGGTCTCTGTTCATTCTTTTAATTCAGTGTCAGTCAAAGTAGCTTATCGAAAGCATAAAACGTCAGATAGAACAAAATACTTGTTTGGATGAATCTAAGCTTACATATATATATAATTATGTCAAACGTGAGAAATTATTATCACAAAGTTGAATGCATGTGTGTAATTGTATGTGAACTAATGCAGCTGTCTGTATTCACCCTGGAACCTTACTCATGAAGTGACATTGCCGTATCATGTTGATTATAACCAAAAAAATATTTAATATTTCTAGGTAAATTATTGAAGGCTGAATATATTCTTAGCAGTCTTATTATTGACAATGGGGCAACAGGTAAATAAATTATGGTTGTTATACTTCTTTCCATTTTAATTGATAAATTCCAGTTATTGCTAGTTATAGCCTATAGTGGGATATGCAAATAATTTTGGATGCTTATAAATTAATTTGTTGGGAGAAAAACTTTGTTTTGGTCTTTACTTCTTCAGTTTCTCTTGTTTAACCTTCCATGTTACGTCTATTGGGAACCAATTTTAATATACAGTATCCTCGTTTTTTTAAATTGCTGTAGTTTGGCTCACTGAAGAACTATAATGTGTGTGTGTGTGTGTGTTTGTGTGCATGTTAATTAATGAATCTTTGTAGAAAGACATAATAGCAAATATTATAATTATATTGAGTGATAAATATGAATCATTAAATAAAACATAAAATCGTGTATTTATGTCTTTGAATGTCTCCCAGAGCTTAAGTTATAAACCAACTAGCTGTAAAACAAGGACTGTTAATTTCATCCAAGTGTTAAATTCTAATCTTCCTATTATTATTCCTCATCTTTAAAGCTCTGAATGATATTTTACTTTTGCTTTTTAGGAGTATGGAAGTACTGTAATGAAAGTGATTGTGTTCTTGTTCAATCTGTCTGTATACAGATCAGAGGACAAATTCTACAGAAACTGGGTAATAAATCCAAGAATCTCTATGCTGTTCCAAAGCTACAACTTTGGAATAGATTGCATAGTAACTGTTTCATGTGGATAAACTTGTAGAAAAACTCAAATCTATAAAAATAAATAGTTAAGGAGTTAAGAAGTTCACATAATAACATCAATAACAAAACATCAGTGATCTCCACAGAGCTAGTGTAGTGATTAAAGACATTGGATTAGTAGCTGGGAAACTAGAGTTCTACTCTTGCCTTAGGTACCAAAGTCGACCAGTCATTTCCTATCAGGTGTAGGAAGTTTACTGGCAACTACCTATAGTTGCCAATAAAACTTCATGGATTCTACATCATTGCCAGGCCTCAGGACTGATTTGAAGGCACTAATATAGATGTTCATTCACAAACAAAATAATCTTCCAGTATGAGTAAAGGCTTTTCATACTGAAAAATATTTCTTAACAGAAATATGAAGTTTTGGGATAATTTTTAATATGCGGCCTGTTCTGCATTATATTGACATGTAATTGCTGTCTTTTAATATAGAGAGAAAAATAGATCTAGATATTTATATAAAATAGACTTTGTTAAAATGGTAACAAATAAATTATGAATAAATACTACCTGATAGTATTTGTTCCTATCATAAAATGTCCAGCCCTTGTCATCAGAATTTGTAAGTGGCTCCAATATTCATCAGTAGTAAAACTCTTTTTGAAAAATAAAACGAATGTTTTAAAAATGAACAATTTGTTTATGTGTATTGCGTTTTAGGGATGTGGTATGAAGCAGCAGAGCTGATTTGGGCCTCAATTTTGGGTTATTTTACACTTCCACAGCCAGATAAGAAGGTAATAAATGTATTTTTTGACACCTTAAATATTTCCTACTGAGTCATGCCCTATGTTCGAGCACTTTCTGTGCTTATTAAAAGCTCATATTATAAATGGACATATTGAACACTGATTGTTACATTCAAATGACTACAAAGAAACAGACTGCTTCATAAAAAATGTTTATTTTGAAGAGGCAAAATTCCATGTTCTCTAAATCCTTTGATGCTTGAGTCATTGACATCTAAGGGACAGTTTTGTCTCTCTTTTCTGATCTTAAAAAGTGAAATACCTGTTGAAGTTTTGAGACTCTGGTTTATATAGATGCATATATCTAAGAAAGAAATAGAATTCCTAAAAGAATGTGGACACTGTCCTTTCTCTCATGGATTCATGCACATAAGCAGGCATATATACAACCACCACCACCACAAAAAATTACGTTTATACCTTAAAGCAATTTAGTTTAAGATGAAAGCGGGTGATTAATTGAAGGCAAATTTAATTTTGAACAGGATCAGTGTGGAAAATTAATTACAAGTAAATTAATTGAAGAGAAATTACTGATTTGGAATAATTGAAGAATGGCAGGTGGTTTGGCTGGGGAATTAATTGTGAAATTTAAATATATGTCCTTATTTCTATATTTGCATCTGCAATATGAGTTAATTTTTTAGAATTCTTCAGCTCTCTACTAATCTGGAAAAATATTAATATCTCCAATTAATCTTTAGTTGGTTCAGCAGGTATAAAACTTTTAAGTGCCTGATATCACTGTTGTCTATTATTTACTGGTGTCTACAGAGTTCATCTTGTTCAACTACTATTGTAATCTTCATGATCAGATCTGCTCACAAATGGAAGAATATAGATTGTTGCAAATCTGTTGCAACAAAAAAGTAAAATTTCTTCAGAAACATATATTTTAATATTTCCTGTGGTGAAAAAATGCTGATTTTCTTTGTCCTACTAGAATTATGTAGATAAAGAGCCTTATAGTTGTTCATATGTGTTCTTTTTTAGGGAATAGCTACCTCACTGGGTATTTTGGCAGACATCTTTATATCTATGAGTGAAGATGATTACGTCAGATTTAAAAACAATTCTCAGCTTGGCCTGGTAACTATTTTTACAGCAGAGATGAACTTGATTTAACTAATTTTCATACATACATACATACATTTTAGAGCAGGGGTCTCAAACACAATTTACCTGGGGGCCGCTGGAGGCAGAGTCTGGGTAAGGCTGGGCCGCATAATATTATACTTTATATTATACTTTATATTTATATTATACACTAATATTATTCTTTGATATCATGGTGGGGGTCACAGGATGTCGTCCTGCAGGCCGCAATTGGCCCGTGGGCCGTGAGAATGAGACCTCTGTTTTAGAGCAAGCATTATGCAGAGTAAAAAGAATAAACAATATAAACCAAAGGAATTAAACAAGAAAAAAAGAAAAGTAATTTATATCAACATCATTCATCATATTGCTTTATAGCTGTCTTTGCTTGCTAACCATTTTTGTTTATGCCACATTTATACAGTTCACATATTTAGCCTTTTGTTCTCTCTCACCTTTTCCCCAAGATTTCATTAACTTCATCCAACCTTCCTCTCAACCCATTCACCTTTGTTTCATATACCAGTATTTGTTTTGTATTTGAAGTTCATCATTTTCATTGTTTGGGCCATCTTTTTTTTTACATCATTTATTGATATTTGTATTCAAGCCACATTTGTGCATTACCCATTCATTTACGACCATGTGCTATATTGCTTGTTTTATCACCCTTCTTAAGTTTCCCATTGCCCCTTTGTCCAACTTCCTTCTATGTTTATCTGCATGTACCCAACTCTCCCTTCTGTACAACAAAGTAGGCAGGCTGTTACTATAGCTATTTTTCACTTATTTCAACTAACAGTCTTTCCTTACAACCAGCCATATCCACTTCCTTTCTACAAAATTTTCATCACTCAAAATCCATTCATTTTTTCATTTATTTTAAATGTTATATAAAAGGACAAATACTTGCTCCAGTTATTACCAGCTATGTATACTTTGCAATTGATGCCTCCCTTTTCTAATTCAAATGCAAGTACCCTTAATAAATTAATTTTCAAATTATAGTTCTAATTGCATCAGACACACTTATATTACATTCACTACAAATTATTTAGACTGTCAGGAACCTACATATCGTTATTTGTTTACTGAAATACAGATACATTAATGTCTTATACCATCCAACATACTATCAGCATTCCTTGTTTATTTGACCAGAAATACATGAAGCAAATAAGATGATATTACACACATATGTATTACTCCAGATCAATATTGAACCATTCTGTAAGAATTCCATTTATTATTCCACATGTTTAATTACTATCATATACTGCTTTGGGCATATTTAGCAATCTTTACCTTCTTATTTATACAAAATAGTTTGTAATTCAAGCCTATTATTTTTCACACACTGTCTCTGAATTAAGAGATGCAATTAAGTCTATGTCATATAAAATATGCATTTAAAAATGTCAAAATGTATCCTTCAATGTTCATTTTCTTTTTGTTATTTTATTAGAACCTTCTTAAAGAATTTGATCATCGTTTACTTTCAGCTGCCGAAGCTTGCAAGCTGGCTGCAGTCTTGAGTCAGTTCACACCATTGTTTGTGCTCACTGCAGTTGTAAGTACCATGTTCAGCATTCCTATTTTCTTCCACTCTGAAAATTCTTTACAACAGTTTTTGTCAACTACTGATATAATATGCTCCTGCCTAGCTAATACTTGGGATTCAAATTATAATATGAATTTCTAGTGCAGATGTAATGAATGAAATATAAAGCAGGAAGTTAAACTGCACCCAGGGACAAGCTTTTTACTCTAAAACAGTTATGATTTATTCTAAACAATTATTTGCTATTGCCTGAATGAATATTGCAGTTCAGAAAAATAGATAAAAGCATGTCCCATTTATTTCACTGGCGTTCACCACAGGATAAGTATAGTTATAAATGCAGCTTCTGTCAGAATCCATATTTAGTTATCAATAAGTTGAAATTAACAAGACATTATTAATCTTGCTTTACTTGATCCTGGAGTAGAAAATGTGATTTCTTTCACATTTCAAGGCTATAATTCCCATATGTAATTTATTTGTTTATTTATTCATTTATCACATGTTTACACCACCAATCATAACTAAGTGACTCTGGGCAGCTTACAAGATTGATTGAGTTAATTTGGATGTTTTGTATCTTTCATTTGGATGTTTTATCTATTTCTGTTGTAATTATACTCATTCTTGTTTGAATATTTTCTTTTAATGTTTTTAAAGGTGTTTTTACTGTATTCCTCTAAGCTCCCCTCATTTCTAACAAAGACGAGCAGTGATTTAAAATGTTATGCTAAATAAATTTATGTTAAAATAAAACTAATAATAATATTACACTAAAAGTAGAAACCATAATCAACTGAAAATTAATGAAAACAATTCTGATTCCATGCTGGAATAGATTTTTAAGGGATTTGAAACATATATGAAACACATGAAACACATGAATTTGACAAATTCTATTCATTCTCACTGTATTTATTTTTTCAGAATATCCGGGGAATGTGTTTGCTAACTTACAGCTGTTCAAGTGCGTGTCCTCCAGAAAAGCGAGCATTTTATTTATCTCAAGCAAAGGAGTCCTTTGAAATTGGTTTACTGAGCAAGAAGGACAAAGAACCAGTCACCAGCAAACAGGAGCTCCACAGTTTTATCAAAGCAGCTTTCTCCCTTGCCAAAGTACACCAGCATCTGTATGGAGAAAGCAAGAGCCTTAATCAGGTGAATCAGTTGTGCCAGGATGCTTTGGCGAAGCTTTACGCTTACAGTTATTCACTTCAAAATGAAGAGCAGGAAAAAGAACTGCTTGCTAAAGACATTATGTCCCTGGTCATGTCAGTTAAAGAACAATTACAAGTGCAAAGTTTTCCTAATTCAGATGCCAAATCCTACATTCCTGATTGCTACAAAACTGATGTCAAAAAGGTTCTGAATTGTAGTTTGAGCTTTGAGGAGGTTCTCAGAATGTATTTTCAGCATCATGAATCAGTCTGTGCTGTTTTTGAAAGTACTTGCAGAAATCATAAAATTAGACCAGGAAAACAGAAGGCAAGAGCCTGTATAACAACTTTGAAGACTGCAACCAGAAATATGGATACCATAGGTGCTACAGAAGCAAATTCTCATTATGACAATCACAATGGAGAAATCCCAGTTTCACAGAAAGAAAACAAAAGACAAAGAAAGAAAATTGCTCACATTGTTTCAAGGAGGGCTTCTCTTGATGAACAGACAGAAAGTGAAACTTCTGATAATCAAAACAATTCTAGTTGGGAAGAAATTGTCAACAATAAAAATGATCTATCCCAAGATAAGGAGCAGAAGACAAAGAACTTTATAGAGTTGCCTGAAGATATTGAAAAGAAAATTGAAAACAGTGATTTTTGTTTGTTAACTAATAAAATACACAAAATCACACTTCAGCACTCTCAAAATGGCACAGGTTCTTTAAAGCATCCCTTTCCGAAAAGCATGCCTTTCACTAATATACCAAAAGAATTGGACCCAAATTTAAGAAAGAAAGAGATGGAGGCAGGAGTGGATGCTTCAAAACAGTCATGCAGAGGAACTAGTAGCACCAACTCCAAACAAGATAAAGTAATGAGTTCTACATCTGAAAAAGAAATAATTTCTTCAGGGAAGGTTTCCAGAACCAAGGACAGCAGCAATGTTCCTATTTCTAGTATTAGAAAAGGAAGCATTGAAAACAATGCAAACCATGCACGAGATTCAGGCCCAATAAGTAGAAATCATTGGCAAATGGTTGACTTAGAAGGAGAAACAGAAGATGGAACGGAAGATTCACTAATGAATCCAGATTTACCCAATGAAAAGACAGTACCTGCTTCTATCAGAAACAATATATCAAAAGCTGAATGTGACAATTTTGTACAAAATTGGATCAACCAATCTGCCAATATGATGTTAACAGGATGTTCCTCTAAAATATCTGAAGTTAAAACACAAGCAGAAGATGACTGGGAGCTGGTTTCTGATGATAGAAGAGAGTTAATAGACCATGGTACTAATGAAGGTATAATAAAGGACCCACAAAATTACAGGACTGAGGCCCCAAGTTCTTCATTAGGATGGGGCAACAAGCAAGTTTCAAATCATTCTAATGATTGTGCTACAACTGAAGAAGGTGATGAAGGTGAAAATAAGAGAGGCATTTTCAATAGCTCACACAGCTCAAGCTCTCTGAAATCATGGGACAAAGGACCCAGTTTTTCCAGTAGTTTTTCTGAACTGGGAAGTCCTCCCTTAATGAATTCTAGTGAAAGCTCTTTTTCCTTTATTAGCATGGCCAAAGAACAAATGCAACAAGCTCGTATTCTGAGCAATGATGATTATAACAAGCTATTTTCAGGTGTTGAACATGCTTGGCTCGTTGAGAGAATGAAGAATACAGGATTCTTTAAACCAAAACTCCTGCATAGAACACACCGTAAGCCACCTTTTTCTAAACTATTATCTTTGCTCCAGGAATTTATCTATGCTATGCTATTTTCAGAGACAGAAGCTGATTGCATCCTGGCACTTTTATACTGACTTATAAATTTGGACCATTTGACTCATGGTAGGGTTACCTGCTCATCCACCCTGTGGGATCAGTAGGACCTGCTGCTATGGCCAGCAGATAGCACTATGCTTTATTTTTCTTTTTACATATTTACCACCAAAGGTGAGGGATAAATATCAGTTAATATTGCCTAGCCTTATTCTGAATTTGTATTTCTTTTCTTTGCCCAATTTCTATCTTAATGTATGGATATCAAAATCCAGGATCTATCCTGTATTACAGGTGTGTCCAGGGGTGGGATTCTATCAGTTTGCACCTGTTTGCTAGAACCGGTTTTTAACATTCTAAGCAGTTTGGAGAACCAGTTGTTAGAAGAAATTACTGGCCTAATCCTGTAAGGAAGGCAGGTAGGAAACATTTTGGTGTTGCTTACAGAAACTGCCTCTCTGTTAACCCTTATTACATTCTTGGCAGGACTAGACTTCCTGTCTCAGGAACATCCCTGGAGTTTTTTCCCCCTCCTTTGCTGGTACTTTGCTTGTGTGGAGTGACCATTCAAAGTTACAGTGGCACTGAAAAAAGTGACTTATGACCATTTTTCACACTTACGACCGTTGCAGCATCCCCACAGTCATGAAAGGCCAGGCGAGGAGATGCACACCTCGATGTGAGTGATGTTGAGTTGGCCACGCCAACCAGTCACATGACCTCCAAGCCATGCCCACCACCTAAGCCATGCCCACAGAACCGGTTGTTAAAAAATTTGAATCCCATCCCTGGATGTGTTAAACTCAAAGGCTAGATCTGGCCCATGGGGTGCTTTGATCTGGCCCATGGAAACAGCGAAGTACTGGGCCGCAGTGCCTCTGCCAGTGAAAATGGAGCTCGGGAGGACCCCACTTTCAGCCGCAACGGCCTCCTGCATCCCTCTGCCAGTGAAAACAGAGTTCCATTTTCACTGGCAGAGTGCTGCAGGAGGCATCAAAATGGAGATTGGGAGCCTGTTTTCGCTGGCAGACTATTCAGGCCACCAGAGGCACCCCCAACATGAGTGACATCAAGTTGGCCACACTCAAACTGGCCATGCCTACCCCAGCCCCTGAGGTCAAACACAACCCTGATGCGGCCCTCAATGAAATCAAGTTTGACACCCTGCTGTACTACAATTGTCTGTAGCAGAGCCAACGTGATAATAGTCTGCATATTATGTAAAACTAAACACATAATCATTTTGGGGGGAATGATGTAATTCACGCTATTCTCTCCATGCTACCACATAGGATGCCATTAGTTCCAAGGGCTTCTCCATTCTTTTTGCTGGGTCCCCTTCCTCAAAGCTGCAGCTGACCGCACATACAGAAGTTCTATGGCTGCGGATGTCAGATGATTGTATGGAATCTTGTAGAGAGTAGTATAGTGAAGGGCATGATACTCAGTCTATGGCTATGGTGAAGCTCATTAAACACACAAGCTTCATACCCTACCAATGCGAATTTCATCAAAATGTTGATGTGAAATTGAATAAAACTTATTTTTCATCCAACCATAAAGGAAAAAATATGATGCTGCAGAAGTTAAGAAAAGTTCAAGACTTTGTTTTTTTAATAAAAGTTTTTATTCATTTTTCAACATATTAAGAACATCTTTTTTCAGTGAACAGCATCACATTTCCATTACAAACATGACTTTAATTTCATACTCATATTTCACATTTAATTTCAAATATTACCATTGCTTTTCATATTTTCTATCCTTTTTATTGTATGCTTTCCTCCAGCTTATTTTGTTTATTTTTTCAATTTATTACTTGATCTATTCCCCTAACCTTTAAATAAGTCTCATATTATCATATTCATTATACTTTATGATTTTCTCTGCACTTTCATCGCAGATCTTTAATTAATCATTCCATGAGTTCAATTTCAATTCCAACATTTCAAAAAAGTTTCTCCTGCTATTAACAATTTGAGTGCGCTACCCCTGTAGTTTACATATCATGTAATTAATCCCGCTTTAAATCCTATTAATTATTTAGTTTTGATTATCACCTAATAAATTAAAAACAATATTCTTCTATCAACTACTACATTGCATATATACTTTTCAATTCAGGGTCTGCAAGTTTCTCCTTCAATTAAATACATAATATATATAATTTAATAAAAAAATTAATCTATTTAATTCATCATAAAAACTGATATTATTCCCCTAGTCCCCATTTCCATATTTCAACTATAATTTATACTTTCATTACACATAGCTAATATACTTATCATATTTCCCTCTTTTTCACAATTATTCCGTTTGACTCTGTGTTTAATTCCATTGAAAAAATATACATATCTTACCATAACAAAACAATGTCAGCTCCAGTCTCTCATTTCAATTATCTGTATTTCACTATTTTCTAATAGTAAAAAGTAGTCTATTCAATTCATCATAGAAGTTAGTATTACTTTCCTAGTCAAACTTATCATAATTTCCCCCTTTTAACAATTTTTCCATTTGGCTATGTGTATAATTCCATTAAAAAGAAAAGAAAAAGAAATGAGACAGCAAACTTACACCAACAAAACAATATCAGTTCCAGTTTCACATTTTATAAATCTATATTTCACTATTATCTAGTTAATTAATTACTTTTAATTCATTTATATTACACCTCATCAACTTGCAGAATCCCTTCTCTTAATATTTAGCTAAACATTATCTCTGTGTCTTTCAAACAAACATTTTCTTTTCATCCTTACTTGATTCACATATTTCTTTGTTTCCTGGTCATGTTTCTTATTATTTCTTTTTCCCTTCATTCTTCCCCTCCTTTTTCTACTCCAATATTTGGCCCCCTCTCTTTTTAGTACTGTCTTCTGCCCTTCCCTCTTCTGCTGTTTCTTTTTGTTTGGTTTGGTTTTCAATGTAAGCCTCTTTTTAATCACCATTTCAAACCTCCTGTTTTTAATTCCCCTTCTTTTCTCTCTTCGCTTTAACTCTCATTGTTTTAAGTATTCATTAAAGGTGGCCTCTTCTGTACTCTGCTCCTCTTCTTATGATATTCCTCGCTGTTCTTCAGATTCTAAAATCACCATTTGTAAAAATTGCAAAGTCGGGCAAAGCAGTTTGCCTTCTTCTTATAACATTTCTTTCATATTTCTAAGTTCTAGTTTTAGTACTAAGAACAAATCTGCCATTTTTTCACTTTTATCCAGGAACTTGATTCAACCAATATCTATAATGTCTATTTCCAATGATCAGTTTTTATTAATTCCTCTTTAAATTTTCTTGGTTCATCTTATAGTTCAATGTCCATAAAAGTTTACACCAAAGTTACCAAAGTCCCAAAATGGTTTCTTCCTGCTTTTTTTCTTTGTCTTAAATGTTCAATAATTCACTTTCATTTTCCAGGGTCTCTATTTTATTGTATCCTAATCAGTTAGTTTGTATCCAGTAAGTCCTTGAAGGAACCAGGCTTTTAAAAAGAAAAGGGGGAAAAAGGGATATAAACAATTCATTTGGCCACTAGATGGCAGTCTCCATTATATCTAAAATCCAGTCTTTTTTCTCCCACTTTTTTCCCCTCTATTTCAGGCTTTTAAAATTCCAAATTTTAAAATTTGGAAAGTATAAAATTTGATAAGTCCAAGTATCAATTACTCTCTTCTTCCCCCCCCCCCTCCAACATGTCCAGATAAGGCTTGAATTATGCCTTTTGGTGTCAGGGCCATCTGTTTATCACATATAGGCAGAAATATTCTTCTGGCTTCTTCCTATTAAGATTCAAAGCCGCTTTAAGCTGTCAAAATTTATTTCTTCACTTCATCATTCGCCGCTTCAATTAATTCTCTTAAAAATTTTCTTTAATATTATTCTGGGGTACCTTTTATTTAGAAGTTGCGCCCAATTCTCTGGGTTTCTATGCTGTCCTCTTCTTCTCTGCTCCTGCACAATCTTATCCCAGTCTGCTCACCTCTTCAGGGTGGCCATATTGGCCACCACTATGGCCATCTTTGGGAGAAGGGAGTATTGCCAAGCCAGGGAGGAGAGATGTGGCTCCCCTCGACCCAGTCAACAGTCCCTCCCTTCTTCGCCATCTCTACGGGTGGCTTTGGCCCCAAATCAGGTTGATCGGGGCCGTCTGATGATAGAGCATGAACTGAAACCGCGGACGATTGCAAATTTTGGTCCATAGGCAAGAGAGTTTAGCCGGAAGTCCCCAAAAGTCCAAGACTTTTGAATTCAGATCTTACTATAATATTTGATACAATTGTTTTTCTATGGATTTTTTGTCATATATATTCTTAAAATATAAGATGTAAATAAACTGTTAATGATTTAATAAGAGATAGAATCTAAATACCGATGTCCACATATTTCAATTAAAGTTCTGTATCTGCTGCAGAATCATTTGTTTTGATTTAAGTGTTTTTGTGGTTATCATATACAATGCAATATATTTCCTTTGGGGGCATGAACGTTTTACATAGGTAGTCATCGGCAAGATATTATTGAAAAATATATTCTCAATCCAAAGCAATTAATCTTGTTTTGCTTTTCTGTGCAAATGCGAGACTGATAGCCCTATGCTGTAGTTTTTACAGATCAGATTGTGAAAGCACATTTGACATACTGTAACTCTGTCACTTCATCCATTTTTTCTCTCTAGATGCTCTTCTTCTGAAATACTCTAAGATATCTGGGCTGTGGACAGCTCAGGAGACAACTGCATATATTGGAGATAACTTGAGTGTAGCAAAGAAAGGCAAGCAGAGGAATGCTTTTTGGATACACTTTCTGCACCAAGAAGAAACCCTGGGAAGGTATGACTCAAGCTAACATAGGATCTGGAAAAGTTCACATAAGCTCCATATTATGTTGCATTTGACTACATATAGGGCTCCTGGCAGCAGAATCTTACTTTGTAGAGTAAAGTGTTCCACTATTGCTGAAGCTACATGTCATTTTAGCAGCCTAAGATAAGTGGCAAATACAACACAAAATCGAGCAGTCTGCCACTACTTGATTCCCACATCTGCTTCCTGAGATAACCTTTCCGAGTACCTAGATTATAGACTTCATTTTCAATTCCCAGAATTCTCCAGCAGTAGAAGCACTTAAGCACCCCTATTACTCAAAGGAGGAGTGTAGACGTTTCAGTTGCCAGACCAGGTCTGAAGTTGAAATAGAGAAAGGGTAACATTAAGATAGCAGACATCCTGGGTCAACCTGAAGCCTGGGGCTAGGGAACTTCCAGTGATTCATTTTATCACAAATCTCCTCCTCCCCAGGAAAACCAGAGTTCTTCCTGGAAAAGTCTTCCTTCAATATTATCGATGTTTTTCATGAACGTTTGCCCTCTTCCCACTACTAGAGTATTGCAATAGCTCATCAAGTGCATATGGTTATACCCCTACTTTCTTAGATGCTTTCCAAACATGAGAAAAACTTATATCAGTCATACAGCATTTCTTATTCTTTGGGGGGGAGGGGGATAATTAAAAGCTGGAGGCAAAAGTAAAGGAAAACAGAAGGAGGTTCAGAACCATGGCTCCCCTTTTTACTGATTTAAAAAGTAGGGATTCCTCACCTATGAAAAATCTTCCAGGTTATTCATAGGGTCATTCTGCCTAGATCGTATTGTGTGTGTGTGTGTGTGTGAGAGAGAGAGAGAGAGAGAGAGAGAGAGATGTCAAACCTGAGCTGCTATTGGAGAAGAGCAATGAATACATTTCCTAAAGAAACTTGAGGAGTCTCTGTGGCACAGTGGTTAGAGTGCAGTACTGCAAGCTACTTCTGCAGCCAGCTGCCTACAATTTGGCAGTTCAAATCCCACCAGGCTCAAGGTTGACTCAGCCTTCCATCCTTCCAAGGTGCGTAAAATGTGGACCCAGAGTGTTGGGGGCAAGATGCTGACTCTGTAAACTGCTTAGAGAGGGCTGTAAAGCATTATAAAGTGATATATAAGTCTAAGTGCTATTGCTATATTACTGTGGTATATGTTGAATTAGTCCCAGCAGATGGAGAATATTATTTGTGCTGTGTTACATTATCCCTAGGTATGTTGGCAAAGAATACAAAGAAGAAAAAGAGATTATATACCATTTCAATGATGTGGAACGGCAAATGACAGCTCAGTACTATGTGACAGAATTCAACAAAAGACTGTATGAGCAAAACATTCCTACACAAATCTTTTATATTCCATCGGTGGTACTCTTGGTAAGGAGAAAACAAAAGGCTATAATGAATTCAACAGAATACAAGTCGAAATGTCCTCATTAAAATAGTGGACTGTATCTATGTTGAAATACTATTCATACTGTAGCTCTCTTATTTCTTTGCCAGATACTAGAAGGCAAATCTATCCAAGGATGTGTAACCGTGGAACCCTACATTCTAGGAGAATTTGTGAAGTTATCCAACAACACCAATGTAGTAAAATTGGAGTACAAAGCCACAGAATATGGACTTGCATATGGTCATTTCTGCTACGAATTTTCCCAAGGCACAGATGTGGTGGTCGATTTACAAGGTTTGTAAACATGCAGTCATCATATGGTGAAAGCTAACATTTTACTAGGTGAATGGGTTATTAAAAGCTGAGGTTTGTTTTGAACAGGCATAGCTTCTTCATCATGTGACTATTTAGAGTTCTAATTTCAGTGGCCATAGAATGCTAAATAATTACATGGGACAAAGATGAGAGGAAGAAGAAAAATGTTGACAGGTAGAAGGGAGAATGGAATGGAATTAATGTATCTCAAAACAGCCAAATAGCAGCAAAAGCTTTAACAGATTGATTGGAAGATGCAAGTGATTAATCTCCATTTCACTTAAGCTATAAGTAATTTCTCATAAGTAGATTCCATAAATAATTTAGATGTCATTTGTCCTCATTTGTGAAAATAAGTCTGAATACATTTTTCTACTAAAGTTACTATGGTGTCATGACTGTTCAATCAAAGAGATTACTGTTAGGAATCAACCCTGATTCAAAGACACTATTTATTTGGAATGTTCAAATCAGTGTTGATTTCTGATACCTACATAGTTTTCTTGGCAAAATTTCTGAAGTGCTCGCTGTTGCCTTCTTCTCTTTTTCTGGGAAAGAGTGACTGGCCCAAGTTCACCCCGTTGCCTTTGTGGAAAAAAAAATTAAAACTCATAAATTCCCAGTTCTACCCTTGAGGTATTCTGCCCTTTGATCCAGTTACAGAACCAATACTTCCTGCTGAAATATTTTAGGAACATAGAATCAAAAGAGCATATAATTCTACTTCCACTATACTTCGTACTTTGAAACTGTTTTTAATTGTTACATTGTCAATAAATATGCCTTTAATACTAAGAGACTAAGATAGATCTACTGTAGATTCAAATCCATCTTTAGCCATGGAAACTTGCTCGGTGATTAGGCCAGTTACTCTTTCTTGGTGCAACCCACTTCACAAGGTGGCTGCTAGGGAAAATTAGATAAGGAAGTGCTATGTATACTACCAAATGGAATATAAATCTAATAAATAAAATATTACAACTTTTAATCAGTGGAAACATTTTCAAAGCTGCATAGTCATAAGTCACTATTTGTGAGTTGGGTGGCTTGTTTAATAACTAAAATAATTTTTGTGCATTTTTGCTGTTAACATTTGCTTGGAGTAGGAGAGTTTATATAGTGCTTACATTAAGAAAATGACTTTTTGTTTTGTTTTGTTTTGTTTTTTTCTTTTGGACAGGCTGGGTGACTGATAATGGAAAAGGCCTCATTTATCTTACTGATCCCCAGATCCATTCTGTCTCTAAAAAAGGAACATCGGGCCTCACAAACTTTGGAAAGAAAGGAATCTACTATTTCTTCAATAATCAGCATACAGAATGCAATGAAATCTGTTCCCGTCTTTCATTGACAAGACCTTCAATAGAGAAACCAAAGTGATATTAGATAATCCTTGCCCCTTTCTTTACCCAAGAGTTCCTGCTGTGACTTTTCAACAAATATATTTTCCTATTTTTTTAATATCTGCATCATACTATCCAATGAAATTGTGTTAATTATATGTTCTAATATCAAAAGCTCATTCTGTAACAAGGCAAAGATGTTACTCAGAAGGAGAGACCTTGCATTGAGTTGCTTCTTTTTATCTTATTCTTTGTACAATTGCAGTGTTGTATGCACAGAAGTGTTGTTCTAAGTATAGAAATAGCTCTGCGCCTGAGCATCACACAAATCAGTAATTGATAGGAAAGTCAATACTGATAAAAGGCAGCCTATACACACCACCTTACCTTATCTGGAAATGATTATTAATATAGCTAAGCCAAATAGGCTTGGTAAGAGTTCAGCTCTACCAGCACTCATGTTCTTTATGTCATGCATTTTAAGTACATTTTCTTCCAAAAGGCTGCCTTTTTCCTTTTTTGTATTAATACTGCAATACAAATAAACCAGCTGAACACTGTTAAATTCATTAGTCAGCAGACTTCAACAACTGCTTAGTTTTATATATGAAGTGGGAGCTCTGCTTTCAACTTGAGCCCTGGACCTTGATTCATTTTCAACTTATTATCCAGGGACCAACAAGGAAAACATGATAATAGTTTCCCACAAAACAATACCCCGTGTTATAGTCAAGGAATCAAGGGGATCAAAAAAAAAAAATAACAAGGAAGAAGGAAACTCCTTTTTCCAGTTGTGATGTTAATGTAGGTCATGGTCTAATTATCTGGTATCCTGATGTTTCTTCATCAAGTATCTGGCATCTTCAGAGGTACAAATTATATACTTCTTGAAAGCTAACAAATCAAAACAAAAATAACTTCATAAAAATCTAACCACCACCAATGGTCACCCTAAAACATTGAAGCAACAAAAAATAATTAAAAGCAATTAAAAAGCTTTACATTTAACTCTTTTCTTAAAAAGTCAGTGTGTCAAAAATCTGCAACATTATCCTTAATGCTGATCTCACATTTGTGTCGGAGAAAGTGCATTCCATAAAACTATTTAAAACTGGACTTTATTTATTCAATAATATTTATTCAAGAAGGTACAGTCCTAGACCAAACCTTAAAATAAAACTGAATAAAGAATAAATAAAAATGTTAATAATTCAAAATAAAAATATAATTGTGGAAAGAGGTTGGATCTAAGGAGCTTAATGGTATATGAACTTGTTATGTATGTATGTTTGGACACGTATGTGTTTAATGTGTAATTTAAATATTAGAATTATTAAATTGCTAAACTGATGCAAAGCTATATGAGCAGGAATAAATGGAGATTCTCCCAAAATAAATGAAAGCATAAATGTCCTGGGGTGCAACTACTCAAAATCATTTTGAAATGCATCGGTAGGCTAGGTGCATAATAAAATTCTTTTTTTTAGCAGACATTCCTTGCAGTCACTGGGCCTTAACTTTCCATGCTAGTTTCCTAATCTTAATTTTAAAGCTCAGAGCTGTTTTCCCAGAGCTATTTCTAAATTAAGTGGTCCCTCATTCTGTTACATTGGCCAACGCTATTGCCATTGATTCTAGAACAGAGGGTGTTGCTCAAAGCTATCTAACATATTCAGGCTGCTTCTGGTTTGACACTCATCCTCTTTGAATGTTTTGTAGTATGTATGCTGTTCTTGCACTGGGTAAAAGCAGCTGTTACCTTTTATACTTTCTTTCTATCCATCTTTCTTTCCTTCTTTCTTTCTGTTTATGAAGCAATCTTTTGTGTTTTTTGATCAAAGCTTATAATTCATGGATGCGACCTTCCTGGACTTTTGTCAGCTACCACCTGGAGGACTTTAAAAAGAAGCAGTAGAGGAATTACATTGTTTCATTTCCTAAATAGTCATATAGGAATATTTTTATTGTCATAGAACAGTAATACACATTTCCTGCACAAAATTCATTATTGTAACTAAAGCTGTTACATGATTTCCCTTCATTTTTTTAAGGTTGGCAGAAGAGAATTTCTAAATCACTGTGGCTCTCAACCCTTTAAAAGTAGTAATTACCTTTGTAGCTTTCCCAATGTTAAACAATGGTGGGATCACACTATAGAGCAGACATCTGTTTTGTACCACCCTGTGTGATGTGGATTTCTTTGAGTACATCATTTCACATGACCGTGGAATACTTAACAAAATGTTAGTTGATAAATTTCAGGCTGAGCATGTTTAAATCAATGATTGGCTGGTTGTTTCATCACACACCCATTTATTTAAAATACATATTTAGAATCCCATTTAGATGGACGATGCCTGACTTGATGTGGATGTACATTAAAATAGCGATGCTCAATTAAAGAGGAAGATTTTCACCAGAATTAGTTTAACATATTTAGATGATGTACTTTTCTACCCAAAGAACATAAAGATTATGAAATCTTTAGGTTCTGCGTCTAACTGCACAACTAAGAATAAGGCAAGATCTAGACTTAAAATGGCACGGATGATAGAGAGTGGAAGAATATTGATGTTTTGCATGGGTGGATGGAAAGGAAAGATGAAGGTGAGAAGTTAAAGAGAAAGTAATATAGTTAATGAAACTTTTAAATGGTCAAGGAATAGTATGGAAATTTAAAAAGTGAAGTTGAAGTCAAACTTGGAAAGCAACTAAAGAAACCAGGGCTGCCAGATCGGAAAAAGTCAAGATTAGATAGCAGCATGCAGTGAGCTTGGCAGGGGAATTCAGGGTCTGGGACTGATTTCCAGGCCTGAAAGGCAAGAAAAACAAAGCAGAGAGGAGGAGAAGCAAACTCGGCCTTAATGGCTCTGTTGTGGTTCACAGGCAGCCTGTGCAGACGGCAGTGGAATTGGACAGTGGGGAAGAACAGGAATCAGCCCGGGAGTCTGGAGAGGACTTGGACAAGGGGTCCTGCATCCGATGCAGAGATGGGGCCAGGACCATCTGGAAGTGGGGTGCTGACTCCGGAGCCTCCAGAGTCTGGCAGCAGCGAGACAGAGGAACAAGGGGAGCCTGTTCCAAGAGCACGTGTGTGCGTAAAGCTGCTAGAAGGCAAGAGCAGCTGAGACAAAAGGAGCAACTCGGGAGTAAGGCTTGGAGGTGATTGCCCCTCCCCTTAGGTATAAAGGAGGTGCAGAGGTAGAGAAACCTTTGCAGGAAGCAAAGTCATTCGCTCTGTTCAGATTAAACCTTGAAGCTCTGTGTGGCCTTTGTACTTTGGTTGTTTTTTTACAGTTAATTTGGCACTTTAGTTGTTGGCAGCAATTCAAAGGAGATTATCTCAAAGGTGGGTGCTTATCTCGAGGAACTGTTTGAGACTCATTACGGGCTGGGAATGTACATAATTTCCAGCATTGAAATAAAACAAGAGTCATTTGGACTGTGTGTGTGCTCCTCTGGTGTTGTTCCTGTGATGCTGCTCCATTGCATCTTCTGCAATGGACATAGAATCTGCAGTTTGAGAAATTTCAGGAAAAAAAGATAGCACTGGCTTCATTGACCGGCATATCCCCAAACAAGGACAAGTTAAGTTTGTTGTTGATCTGTTGTCCTCTCCGTTGCAAAAAGTATATTTCCTGGAGTTTCTGTCTTGCAAGTCCTTGGGAACTTCAACTTACCATCCTGGTCATGATGGCAGCCCAGCAATTCACAACCAAATGATGTCCCAGTTATATTGGGCCTAACACATATAGGTAGAAACTTTAAATGCAGTGTTTAAGTTAGCACACTCAAGATATTTCCATCAATCTGTTATCATGAATTTGATTAATTTGCTCAAAGAAAGGATCAGAGTTAAGAGACTACAGGTAGTCCTCAGCTTACAACCACAATCGAGCCCAAAATTTCTGGTTTTAAGTGAGACATTTGTTAAGTCAGTTATGCCCCACGTTACAACCTTACTTGCCATAGTTGTTAAGTGAATCACTTCAGTCGATAAGTTAGTAACCCGGTTGTAAAGTGAATCTGACTTCCCCATTGACTTTGCTTGTCAGAAGTTTGCAAAAGATGATCACATGATCTTGGACACTGCAACTGTCATAAATTCAAGTCAGTTGCCAAGTATCTGAATTTTGATCACATGACCATGGGGATACTGCAAAGGTCGTAACTGTGTAAAGTGGTCATAAGTCACTTTTTTCAGGGCCAAATGTAACTTTGAACAGCCACTAAATGAACTGTTGTAAGTTAAGAACTACCAGTGTTTGCAATATTTGCAAATATTTACAGAGTAAAGAAAGTATTTGCAATTTTTTTTTCATAAAGAGGTCTGAGATATGTCCCACTGCTCAGGCTTGATAAGATGAGATGCCCTGTTCTAAAATGAAACAAATCAATCTCTGTTGTTACAAATGAATTCCTTATAGGGCACAATTCAATAACTATCCCACTCACCGTTCTTTGAATCTGAGTTCTGGTATTTGTCAAATATCTGGTATATCGGTTTAGTCCCAGGCTTTATGTGTTATAACTCACTATTATGTGCCAAACCTGCCATTACCTTACGTAGTGTTTTATATGCCGATTACACCTATATATTTGTTGTAGAGATAGTATATAATTCTCTTGCTATTTAAGTAGAAAACAGGAATATTTTCTGAACAGAGCAGCTTTTAACAAACTTCCTTGCGCTATTTTTTATGAAGGTATGATGATGGTACCTTTTTAAAAGATACATGAATGTCTGTGTTATTTTGAGATGGATCAGAAATATTTCATAAAAGAATCCATGATTTCCACAAAATTTAGCTTAAGGAAGAGGAAATGGCTTTGTCTGTCAAGCTAGAGAGAGTTTGGATTTTGTATAGCAGCTTCTTTGTCCTCCTTTTGTCACCTATAAGCTATTTGTGCTGCATTGTTTGAGCACATAAATGTTCCGTCACAGTCCAGAACTATAGAAGAAATTAGATAGTAAGAGTAAAAAGTGGGAGAGAGAAAGGAGGAGAAAATTAAATCTCTTTTAAAGGTCTGTGCAAAATCTTCACTGTCGGGACATTTGCAGCTGCACAAGAAGAAAATGCATTCAAAAATATAATGCCGCTGTGAATAATCCTTTTCTAGAGTCTTGCTCACAGACTGCTCAAGCTTTGTAAGGTGATCTTGAACTGGGTCATCGGTCTTGCTTTGGTTCCCATTGGTTCCCATCACCCGAGGGCATTCGGCATCTTGACTGTGTTAAAAAGAGAGCAAGCAATCCATCAGTGATCCCAGAGCTACTTTCTCAAAGAAAAGGGAAATCAGCATGTGACAGTACATTTGGCTGTGGGGTTTTGCAGATTAAAAGGATACATGACAGCTCACGTGTTCCTAGGAAGATTACACCAGTTCTTGTTCACAGCTAAGAAAGACAGACACCTATCTATTCTCAAAAACTTTAACCAAGGGACCAGGGCTCTATCTACCGAAAGAAAGTACTCAAACTCTGTTCAAGTCATTCTGTGAAGCTAAAATAAAGTAGCCTTTATTTTACTTTATCTGCTTGCATGTTGATAATGTTTGCTTAACAATTTCAAATAAATGGAAGGTAAATCCATGTTTTTGCAGCAAATATAGTTCAGTTGATATAATCATTTTACAGCCGTGTATCCCAAAAGAGTTTTAAAAAGTGCAA